CTAAGAAAGAAAAAAAAGTCTGGATAGTGGACGTGGCAGTGCCTGGAGACAGCAGAATAGACAAAAAAGAACTGGAGAAGATAACAAAATACAAAGACCTACAAATAGAAATAGAAAGACTGTGGCAAAAGCAAGCAAGGGTAGTACCAATAGCAATAGGCTCCTTGGGTGCAATCCCAAAACAACTGGAGCACCACTTGAACACCATTGGCATTGACAAATTCGCTATTTATAAATTTTAATAAATAAATAAATTAGTCAATTGCAAAAGGCGGCCTTACTAGGAACTGCTTCCATCCTGCGACGATATCTGTAATACCATCAAACATCCACATCTGCCTATCCCAGGTCCTGGGTAAGGACTTGATAGATAGACAAAATGCCAAATCCAGTCTCAACATCTGGCTGACTGTGCGATGATCCATAATAATAATGATAATAGTAAACTTGGAAGGGACCTTGGAGGTCAACTAGTCCAACCCCCTGCTCAGGCAGGAAACCCTATACCATTTTGGACAAATGGCTGTCCTGTCTCTTCTTAAAAACCTCCAGCATTGGAACATTCACTGCTTCTAGAGTCAGGTTGTTCCACTGGTTAATTGTTCTAACTGTCAGGAAGTTTCTCCTTAGTTCTAGGTTGCTTCTCTCCTTGTTTAGTTTCCACCTGTTGCTTCCATGGTGCCTGTTGCCTTCAGGCACCATGGAAAATAGCTTGACTCCCTCTTCTTTGTGGCAGCCCCTGAGATACTGGAACACTGCTATCATGTCCCCCCTCGTCCTTCTCTTCATTAAACTAGACATAACCAATTCCAGCAAACGTTCCTTATATGCTTTAGTCTCCAGTCCCCTAATCATCCTTGTTGCTCTTCTCTGTACTCTTTCTAGAGTCTCAACCTCTTTTTTACATTGCGGTGACCAAAACTGGATGCAGTATTCCAGTTATATACTAATTAGTCTCATAGATATCGTAGCTAAATCATAGGCCAAATGTCTTTGATACAAGAATGAGGACTGTGTAATTGAAAAGGGCTTTCTATCCAAAGAGTAAACTGGTTTTAAGTCTGGTCACTCACCATTGATAATTGTTTCATTTTATGTCATCTAATAGAAATATATACCATTAAGGGGAGACAGATGTTTGCATCTTTTATAGACCTCAATGCAACATTTGATTTCATAAACAGGGACTGCCTGTGGAAGAAACCTATGGAGCCAAGCATGGATCCTACACTCCTCTCTTTATTCAAGGCATTATACACAAATTTATGTCTAAGGTACACACAGACAGGAATGTGTAGTACTTAGTACCAATAAGGGAGTCAGTCATGGATGTATACCGGCTCCCATTTTCTCTAATCTGGATACAGGTTGTAATGATGCTAAGAAAAAGACTCAGGCATGTCTTGAGCAGAGATTTGAAGCTGCTGCAGAGCTGCTTGTCACAGCTTAAGACAGCTTGAGAGTCTCTGTGTGTTTACTGGTTTTTATATACTTTTTACATACATAGGCTTTACCATTAAATGCTGACCTTTTACATTCATTAGATGCTGACATAAAGTTTCTTTATTGGAAAATTCCTTCTTATAAGCAACTATTTTCTAGTAACATATTACCTGTTCAGAGACCAGGTAAAAACAAATACCGGGAGATGAAAGACAGGAAGAGATAAGAGGGAACTTAAACATATTATTTATTTAGGTAGGTAAGATATTAAGTCAAAAGGGGATGACCTTCTGGCTGCTTCATTGGGACAAATGGTATCAAAAGGTTATGAGGTTTGTGGGGGGGGAAGCATGGCAGTTTGCTGCGCGTGCAGTTTTCCCCACAACAGGTAGTCCTTGACTGACAGCCATTCATTTAGTAACTATTGAAAGTTACAATGGCAATGAAAAAGAGACTTAATGGCTGTTTCCACACTTACAACCATTACAGCAACCTCATTCTTGTATGATCAAAATTTGCACACTTGCCAACTGACATCTTATTTGTGGATCATGTGATCATCTTTTGCAATCTTCTGACAAGCAAAATCAATAGGGAAGCCAGATTTACCTAACAATTGTGTAACTAATTTAACAACTGCACTGATTCATTTAACAACAATGGCAAGAAAGATCATAAACTGGGGCAAAATTTACTTAAAAACTATTGTGCTCAGCAATGGACTAGCTGAATGAATGAAATCCCAAGGTCCCTCCATTTAACCAATATGCATATCCCCAGAATTAAACACGTAAACATTGAGCTCTATGCAGATGAGTTAGTATTAATGTCATGTATCCAGGTAGGGATAATTCATATTGTGCACTCAGTGACCTGAAGGTCAATAAATTCAAACCTAAAGTAATTGTTTTGAGGAGAGGCGTAGTATGTATAGTTGGAACTTGGATAGGGAATGTACACCTTTATTTCATAAAGATATTGTACATAACAGCAAAATCATCCCAATGATCACAAATGGTGCAGATTTGTAGGACTATATAATGGTCCCTTTAGTGAAAATGATGCAGTCTACTTTTCTCAAATGTATCCTCGGGGTGGATTCCTCTACACCACTTCCAGCAATACGGATCTAGTTGGCTCTACCGCTTATATAAATGCATCTAGTAATTAAAATATTCAACTAGAAAACATGGAAAACATACTGTGGCTGAATGGACCCAGATAGATTACCTGAGCATGCTACCTTGCAATTGGGCTAACCAATTTTCAAATGTCTTCACAATATGGATTCTCCATCCAAATCCCAGTTCAATCTGATCTAAAGGCCAAAGAAGCTGTCAACAAGTCATTGATGTGGCTGCCCAGGAGGATAAGCTGTGAGTACAGTTGTTGTAATGCCTTCTCACTCCCCAGGCCTTTGACCTGGAGCTTAATGCAGCTGTGTATTGATTGAGGACTGGCTTTGGACTTTGTTTGGCGTTTCTTGGACTGAATCAAAGTAATGGGTATTGTTGGAACAATATGTCCAGTTTCTTGTGTTCCTGTTTGCATCTTGACCTCTGGCTCTGTGTATTGATTTAGGGCTGGCTTTGGACTTTGTTTGGCATTTCTTGGATTGAATCTTGTCAAGAGTTCTTCTCATGTGGGGTTTGTAACCTGGCCAGCTCGTCATTTGGTTTACTACTGAAACTGTTGAGGGTTTTGAATAAAAAAAACTTTGAACTTTCCATTGTGAGCATGTGTGCATGAGTGGGGCAGCACAATGAAGACCTGGTAGGAGGTGGAGAGCTGAGCCTGATTCTAATCCAGTGCCAGTCTGAAAGGGTTGCAGGCGTGGGAGGACACAGCGAAGAGTGTGTGCTGAGGATAAAAGACTGGTTGAGCCATAATGAAGAGCCAACTTGGTGCCAGAGCTGCAGCATAGAAGGATGACCAGCTGGGTGGGACTGAAAGCAGGAACTGGCCCAGAGAGTCAACAGGGGCCTTGACAGTGAATATATGGCCCAGATCAGAGATCAGAGGCCAGAGGGAGCAGTGCAGTGCTCAGAGATCAGAGATGGATTTGGGGCCCTCTGTAAGGTGGGTTTGGTGCAAGTAGTGGCATGAAGTTCAATGAGCTGGCAACTGGCATTGGAAGTCCGACTGGGGCTACAAATCTGCAATTGGAGCCCAGAAGCTGGCAATAACTTGAAGAAGGCCAGATCCTCTGAAGAACATTGGTTGAATTTTGAATCATTTTTTTCTAAAGAAAGTCCAGAAAGAGATTGAAGACGTGTTTGGCTTCTCAGGGACAATTTCCTATCAGGATCAGAGAAAGTTCCCCTACACCAATGCTGTGATTCATGACCTCATTGCCCTGATGTTGGTAAATTCATCCAGGCTTATTATACTCCAAAATGACAATCTCTAGGCCATCAGTGCAGGGTCTGAGTGGCTCAGAAATTCATGGCCACCAAGACAAAACGAAGAGGTTATCATGATACTCACTCACACTGTGAGCAATACACCGTTGGTCTGGTTTGTTTCTTAGCTAACATGCGATCTGAAGATCTAGGACATTCACGTCACTTGTGGTGAGATTACTTTCCATATTCCAGGAAGCTCACTGCTAGGATCCAGCTCCCTGTTTCGATTGCATCATTGACATCCAATTGGTTTCCAACAGGCACTTGAGGAAATGTCCCACAAGCCTGGCAGGTCCTTCTACTTGCAATCTACTCAGTCTCCAGAATACGTGGATAACAAAGGGACCAGGCAGGATTAACCCCAAGGGGCCTCTTTCTTTGCATTGATTCAGATTTTGAATAGGAATTCTGGGAGAGAAATTGCCAGAAACTGGCAGAACTGGAGCAATACAGGTAGTCCTCAATTTACGACCACAATTGATCCCAAAGTTTCTCTTGTTAAATGAGACATTGGTTAAGTTGGTTTTGCCCCATTTTATGTCTTTTCTTGCCTCGGTTGTTAAGTGAATCACTGTAGTTGATAACTTAGTGACCAGGATGTAAGCAAATTTGGCTTCCCCATTGATTTTACTTATCAAAGGTCGCAAACGATGATCACATGATTTTGGGACACAGCAATGGTCATAAATATGATCCATTTGCCAAGCATCTGAATTTAGATCACATGAACATGGGGATGCTGTAAAGTCGTCACTGTAAGAAGTGGTCATAGGTCATTTTTCAGGGCTGTTGTAACTTTGAAAGGTCACTAAATGAACTGTTGTAAGTCAAGGACTACCTGTACTGTCAAAAATATTAGGGGAAGGTTGTAGAGAAAGTGATTAGGCTGTAGAGGGCTTCAGATCAAGCATAGAATTAGATCCAGTCTAAGTTCAGCTCTAAGTGTGGGATGAAAAATGGATTGGTTGCTTCAGTGGATGTTCTGCCTTGGGGTGTGGATGGGAGCCACACTCTTTCTTCTCCTGTTAGTTCTCTCAGCATCGTTTCAACCCTTCAAGCATGGCATCCTTTTGGTCTATCTGTGAATTTTGCCCTGAGTGGAGAACATGGTCCATAGGAGAAATTTAGTAAAAATGAAAAAGATACTAAAAATAAATGGAAAGTAATATGTTTTATTGGCATTCAAAAGGAAACAAAGATAAAGCATGATAAGCTTAGTTAGAACATTTTTCACACACATCCTCTAAGTCTTTGGTTGACTTTGTTAGGCGTGCGGTGTGAACCAGCAATAGGTTGAAGAAGTTTCAGTATTGAGTAAATAGAAGCAAAGCACAATATTAAGTGAATAGGCAGGTACATAGGAAACATTCGTCATACTGTATAACTATTCTGTAATAATTTAATGCTTTTTATGGGGTTTAATTTTAAGCCTTTGTGGGAATAGCACACAGTTTGTAAGGGTGTGTATGCATTGTCACATTTACAATAGGGGCTTCATTGAGTTCTTTCACTCCTTCAGGCAACCGGAAGCTGAAGGCCCTCAACAGATTGGTCAGAAAGATGAAGATCTCAATTCTTGCCAGCTGCTCTCCCACACATATGCGTTTACCTGTAGATATAAAAGCATGCATAAAGGGGATCATAATCAATTCTCCAGAATATATCCCATCAGCAAGGAAACACGAAAGAAGATTTGTAACAGATGAAGCACATTTCCCGGTTGAATCTTCCTATCTTCTAGTATTGCTTATTATTTAGCACATTATTATTTAGTACACAGCAACAGCTTTTGGGGATAATGCTTTGAATCTATTGATGTGGTTAGCCATTAGCTCAAACTGCTTTATTAAAGCAGTTTATGAGCCCTGGTGGGGCAGTGGTTAGAATGCAGTATTGCAAGCTAACTCAGGTCACTACCAGGAATTTGATTATGACAGACTCTAGCTTGACTCATCCTTCCATCCTTTCAAGGTCAGTAAAACGAGGACCCAGATTGTTGGGGGCAATATGCTGATTCTGTAAACCACTTGGAGAGGGCTATAAAAGCACTATAAAGTGAGATATAAGTCTAAGTGCTAAGTGCTTGCTATGGCTAAACAGAAATAATGTCAATTTGAGCAGACCATCTGTTTCTTGCTCAGGAATCCCTGACCATAAAGGTGATGGGCAGGACCAGGATACCAAATTGCATATGAAGGTTTTTAGTAAGGAGAAACGCTATTGATGATACTGATAAAGTCTTAGACTACCTTGTAACCTTTAACATGTAACCTTTAGCAATAGCAATAACAATAGCAGTTAGAATTATATACCACTCCATTGTGCTTTAACACACTCTGGGAATCATTTACACTGTCAGCATATTGCCCCCAACCATCAGGGTTCTCATTTTACTGATCTCAGAAGGATGGAAGGCTGAGTCAAACATGAGCCGGTCAGGATCAAACAGCTGGCTGTGGGCAGTTCAAGCTTTAGCTGAACTAAGGAACCCAAACTCATTTTATTATGTGGATGACATGTGGATTAATTAAAACTGTCTTACTATGACCCTGAAGATGTAAGCAAGATGTATACTGCTTTTAATGATTATTTTATAATGATATGTATTTCCATGATTGGCATCATGGTAATGTATGCTTTTCAAAATTGCATCAAAGGGGATCCACTCCAAGCAGAGGTGTGCCCATTCAGAACTTGCTTCCGGGTAGATCTCTTATTTACATATAAAAGATTTTTTTTTCCTTTCCACCTGACCGGTGTGGGTCATTGGGCCTGTATGTTTAGGTAAGAGGACATGAGTTTTGGGGGACAATAATAGTTTTTCATATCTATCATAACTGAAGGTGTGCCTTTTATGTCCTTTGTTATCAGCACCAGAAATAGAGAAAGATTCATTGGTGTACAAGCAGTGCCAGACAGGATGAAAACGCTGTTGTAGGGGGAGCTCTGCAGCTATTAAAAAGACTAAGCTTAATGCATCTAGGACCAAAACTCTGTGATGCAGATCCATCATTAAGAAGCTGAAAGTAGGCTTGTTTTCTTTAGATTTAGCTAATAATTCTCCCCCCAAACAACAGAGATAATTGTGCAAAGCTCTACTGATTACCATATAAATATAATTAGTATTTCTTTGTAGTTTAAACTTTATAGCCTAAGAGGAACTTCAGATTCTCATGGTTTTTAAAGTAGAAGGAATAGAGATTCATGGATTTTCTATTCAGTCCATGATGACTTCAGAATAACACAGTGATGGGGGTGGTCGGAATCTATATGTGATAAACTGCTTTGGGCTCATGGACATACCTATTCCGAAGGGCAGAAACTCTTCTCGTTCCATGAACTTCCCATCCTTATCTAAAAAGTGATTTGGGTTGAATTCTGTAGGTGTCTCCCATTGTTCAGGGTCAAGAAGAACAGAGCGCAGGTCTGGCAAAATCAGCGTGCTCTGCAAAAAATATTCAGACAATATTGATGAAATGTTTGGGTTTAGCTTGTCTTGATAGACCCATATTTGTTCATTTCCAAAGCAGTTTCTGAGAGCAGTGGCTGTTCTTAGCATTTCTCACCTTTGGAATGTGGTAACCCTTCATCGTCACATCTTTTGTACTTTGCCTGGGAATCCCAACTAGAAAAACATATTTTAAACGCTGAATTTCATGAATCACGGCATTGGTGTAGGGCAGCTTCTTCCGATCCTGATAGGAAATTGAGACAGAGGAACTAAAGGCTTCTTCAATCTCTTTCTGGACTTTCTCTAGAAAAAAACAATAGAAATAGAAGCCTCTTTTTCATTATTATGTTTCATTTACTCGTTTCCAAATTTTAATCCTTAACAGAAGTTTAAGACATAGAATAGCCTTTAGGGCATTAAATGTAAACCCATCCTTTTTTAAAAAATATTATGAAGGAGAGCAGATTGAAAATGCATTTCCTGTGCTCTGATCATATCCAGTCCAAACAGGTGCAGAATATTGATGTAAACTGTTGATTCAGTTTAAATATTCCATGGAATCTTTTTCAATCTACACTGTGTGCACAATTATTACGCAAGTGAGTATTTTGATAGTAAAGAACAATTAAAATACACAGGATTAAATAAACTAAAAACCAAGAGGATGGGTAACAAGGAGTAGGGATCTTCTCTTTACCCTACCAGTCACTCCCACAGTAGCGCACCTCTGTCAGGGCTCCAGAGCAATTGGCAGAGCCAGGTTTTAAAACTCTTCCTGAATACCCACAGAATAAGGGTGGACCTCACCTCTAGGAGATTATTCTAGACAGTGGGGGCCACAGCAGAATAACCTCTTCCCCTGAACACTGCCAGCTGAAATTCTTTAGCAGTCAGTATCTGAAGGAGGCGTCTTCTGCTAGAGAAACTGGGATGGGCTTGTCACATTGGAATGAGACAACTCCTCAGATACCCTAGACCAGGGCTTTTCAACCGGTGGTACGTGAACCACCTGTGGTACTTTGCCACGTGACAGGTGGTACGCAACTGCTAGCCAAGTGTAGCAGGGGAGGGGAAAGAACCAAAATGACCCAAGCTTGAGAGAAAGGCAACTGCAGCTGCATGACTGTCTCGGCTGGCAGAAGCCCCAGGAGCCAGCAGGTGATTGGCGCTTCAGGAAGCAGCTCGGAGCTGGAGGTGAACTGAAGAAAAAGGGGGTAGGAGAGGAGAGGCTATAAAAGGAGGTGGTTTGAATGGGGGAAGGGAAAAAAAGACATCAGGAAAGGTTTAATCCCTTCAAGCAATGAAATTAGTTTTACCTCCTTTAATTCAGTCTGTCTATGGCTTTTAGAAAGTTTTCTTTGAAGGTAAAGAGGCTTAATTTAAAGCTAAACCTTTTGCAATTGCCGGAGATTTTCAGTCTGGGATTGCAACATTGTGACATGTGACAGGCCTGAGGCAGCTTAAAGAGGAAAAAAAATGAAGGCTTATTTTGTGAGCCTTTCTTGCTTTGCACTTGATTCCTGTGTCTTTAAGGATTGGGGGGGTGCATGCTTACTACACTGTGAAAGAGCTCAGAAGAGAGAGAGGAAGAAGGACCGACCAGCTAGCTCAGGAGTCTACAAACATAGCAACTTTAAAACCTATGGACTTCAACTCCCAGAATTCCTCAACCAGCCATGAGGGCTGAGGAATTCCAGGAGCTGAAGTCCACAAGTCTTAAAAGTGCCAAGTTTGAAGACCCCTGAAGTAGGTGGTAGTAGTGCATATTAATAAACATGGATAAATTCATCATACATTTGTCAGTGCAAAGGGAAAGTGATTCAGCAAAGGAACAGCTACCAAAGAAATTAAAACTGGTACTTTTTTACTTTTTTTCTACAGTTTGTAATATTTTATTAGATTATAGAATAAAATACAAAAATATAAAATCAAATAGTAGGACACAGTTGGGAGGAAAAAGGGGGGAAATTGAGGGGGGAGAAGGGAAAAAGAACATACTTCCCCTGTTGCAGTAGAAGGAAGCATTAACATTGAACCTCAACTTTTTACTTTTCCACAATATTATAAACTAGCCATTTCTATAACAACAAATGAATCTAATCAGTAAAACCCAAAATCCCTTTTTTTTAGTCATCAAGTTTTTTACACCTTGCTAAGCATTGGTGGTACTCAAATATTGTCGTGTCCTAAAAGTGGTACAATTTGTGACAAGGTTGAAAAGCCCTGCCCTAGACCACAGAGGTCCCCAACCAATGGGCTGTGGCCCACTACTGGTCCATGGCCTCTTAGCCACTGGTCCACATGAGTGGCTGGCCAATGTGAGTGCACGTGTGCACGTGCTCACCCCCCCTTTTATCGGCACTAGCATCACTGTGAGCCTCTTGCCAGCTGTAGCCTCGCCATGAGCCTTGCGCTGGCACCACCAGACCCATTTGCAGAATGTGCATGCTTGTGGCCCTATTTGTACACACGCACAGCCACATTTGCATGTGTGTGCATGCATGTATAAAGGTGCCTACCCCTCCTTTTCCCACCGGGCCACCAACCCAGAAATTTTGGGGATTCCTCCTCTACACCCACTCCATAAAAGGCTTTAAATTCATCTTAAATTGGACCCAGAACCAAACTAGCAACCAGCGCAGCTCATGTAACAGTGGTGTTATATGTGCCACCCAAGGGATCTCTAGAAGTAGCTGCACCACTGGATTTGCTACCAGCTGTAGATTACGAACATTCTTCAAGGGTAGCCCAAGTAGAGCACATTGCAGTAATCCATCTGAAAGATTACAAAGGCATGAGAGATGCTGCACATATCCTCACAATCCATGAAAGGGTACAATTAGCAAATAACATGAAATTACACAAAGGGTCTCCTAGCCTCGACTGCCACCTGTTCTTTCAGTTGGAGTCATGAGTCTGGAAGAACCCACAAATTGCACACAGGATCTGTCTGGCAAAATGCAGTCCACTCAGAACTAAAGATGATAAACCCCAAGATCCCACAGTGACTCCATCTTACCAAAAGAAGGTGTAGGGGTGACATGATAGCAGTGTTCCAATATTTCAGGGATGTCTTTAAAGATGAGGGGGGCAAACTATTTTTCATAGGACCAAAAGGCAAGACAAGAAACAATGATTGGAAATTAATCAAGGAGAGAAGCAATCTAGAACTAAGAAGAAATTTCCTAACGATAAGAGTAATCAGCCAATGGAACAACGTGTCTTTTGAAGTTGTGGGTGCTCCATCACTGGAGGCTTTTGAGAAGAGAGTGGAGAGCCACTTGCCTGGAATTGTATAGGTCTTCTGCTTGAAGAAGGTTCCTTCCAATTCTATTATACTATGTTCTACCAGGGTTAAGCTGAAGCCTGTTGTCCCCCATGCAGACACCCACTGTGTCCAGGCATTGCAAGAGGGTAACCACAGCATCACATAGGTCACTGGGCTGGAGGTGCAAAGTTGACTATTCTGGAAAAAGTGATGATACCTTGCCCCATGGTGTTGGATGATCTCACCAAGCAGATTCATGAAGATTTTAAAAAGAACAGAGAGAGGACAGAGCTCTGCACTATGCCACAAATGAGAAGCTTTGGACTGGACATCTCACTCCCTATCACCACCAATTGGGACTGGCCTTGAAGAAAAGAGAAAAGAGATGAACCAGTGCAACATGATTCCCACAGCCAGCTGAAAAGGATACCACAGCTGATGGTATCAAAAGCCACAGAGGGGAAAAGAAGAGAAATGATGGACGTGCTATCCCCATCCCACTCCCTCCAGAGATCATCCACAAGTATAGTTAATGCTGGACCTATGGTGCAACCATTTTTTCCACTACTTTCCACTTCACTAAAAAGGGGAGATGGCAAACTGGACAGAAATTGTCAAGATAGGTGTGGTTCATTGAAGGTGACTTAAGGAAGAGTCAGATCAAGGTGTCCTTAAATGGTGCTGTGAACATCCCCTCTGCAGTGATGAGAGATTTTGTCACTCTTAGCACCATGAGGTAAGGATTTAATGGCAATTCTGATCATGTCCAGTCATATGCATTTTTTGTATTCCTCCAGTGGTATTTGTCTCTTCAACATCCTCAACTCCTCCATAAACCACTGGAGTATCAGAAGTGATGGGCCAAGAGAGGGCACATGGGCACAATCCTGTCCATGGCTGCAGCTGTTTTCTGATTCCAGGCTGTGGCCAGAGCCTCCAAAGGACCACACAGCAGATCCCCCAGGACAATCCCACAGCTCCTTCTGGAATCTGAATGGTCCATCAGTCATCAAGAAGGGACTGTGTGAATAGGGCCAGCCTCCCTGCAGAGGGGGCAGTGCTGGAAAATTTCAAGGACACCACTGTGTAGTCTGACCATGACAGAGGGAATAATGATAACTCCCAGAGCAAATCGCATTGCCACTGTTTTGACAAGAAGATCATGTCTTGAGTATGTACATTGGCCTGGGTTGGGCCATGGATAACCTGAGAAGGCTACCTTGGTGGCCATTAACACTTAAGCTGCTTCTGGGGCCTGCCACCGGCACCTGTTTATATTCCTGCCCATCACCACTTGAATTGGTTTTCATGCCCTAAACCCTGTGAGATGATCTTCTAAACCTGACCTCCCACTGTGCTGGCAGACCTGCCATTCTTCCAGTCATACAGACTCACCCAGTGTGTGGCATCTTCACTGTAGCTCTTAGTGCCAATGGGAATCCTCATGGTCCACAATCTCCACAAACACACTCAATGTATTCCCACCTTGAGCTGTTCTCTCCCACTGGCCAAACAGAGAGGAGACCACATTCACACATATAGGCTCTTTTCTTCACACACCCAGGCAAACGTACAATAGCCACACAATGAGGTGACCCCTATGCTCTCAACCTAGGGCTCAACTCACTATCACCTCAGGGTCTTGGACTCTGTACCCTCCATTAGATTCTCCCTGTCAGTCCCAAAGGCTTGTTGCCATCAATGTTCTTCAGAGCATCTCTCCTTATCCTTCAAGCTACTGCCAGCTTCTGGACTCTAGGTATGTTGGAATTCCAACGTTTGCGGCCATAACCTGGTGTTCAACACCAGAAGGCTCCAAATCCATCTCTGATCTCTGGCTTTTGTACTCCTCCTTTCCATCTCTGATCTGGGTCACATAGTTCACTGCGAAGGGCCCTGTTGATTTTCTGGGCCACTTCTTGCTTCCTTTCCCTGCCAGTGTGACATCCTTCTGGGCTGTCTCCAGCTCCAGTTCCAAGCTGGCTCTTCCCTATACCTCCACCAGCCTTCTACCCTCAGCACAAACTCTTTGGCATGGCTTCCAGCCCTTCAACCCTTTCATACTGGCATTGGGTCAGACTCAGGGCCACTTCTCTACTTCCCACCAATCTCATAGGAGTATGGTGGCTCACATGGCTAGAATGCTGAGCTAACAATCTGCAAGTCCTCGTTCGAGACCGGAGGGCTTTTTTTTTTTGTTGGGTATGCTACTGACATTTGCTCCAGCTCCTGGTGACATAGAAGTTTGAATGCTTGCAAACATGAGAAGATGAATAGGTATCACTTTGGTGAGCTCATTTAGGGACATGAAAGGAGTCCCCAAATGAGCATTCTCTAGGCAACATGATGATACCAGTTAGTACTTTTAACATCTTGGTACTTCCAACATTTTATGACGATGAACAGTCTGTTGTCCCAGTTGTGTCCCTCAGTGCTGCAGACAATGGCCCTTGATTGGCTCCCACACTCCACCCCAAATCTATGGCCAGGGGTCTGCCCTGGTTGGCAGGATGAAAATATGAGCTTCAGCTGGCTCATGAATCCAGACCAATCCTCTGTCTTTGCCACGCCATTCCCGCTTGGTCTCTTCAGTTTCGTTTGCTGCTCCAAGTGATAATCCTCCACAATTTCCCCATCCCTTCCCTTTATCACAGGGAGCCTTGTGTCATTCATCCACTTGTTCCTGCCATCTTGATTTTTTTCTCTATATTATCATGCTGAAATTTGGTCCTCTATATGCAGTTTAGGCCAGAAACAAGTAGCAAATCTGAAAACCAGGGTATATTTCTACTTTGAACGTGTTAAATGTTTTAGATTTATACTGATTCCAGTTTTCAGTTCCTCACTCAACATTTTATTGAGAAGTCAAAGAAGGCTCTCTGTACATTCCTGGTTTTTCTGTAATCCTGTTAAGTTCGTGCCCCTGCTTATAGGGTCAAGAATGTAAATAGGAAAATTATTATGACGAATACATTCAGTTCCTCATTCAATAGCTTAGCATTTCAAATAATTTCTGTATATTATAGAACCTGAGACTGGCCCTTGTTCCCACAACCCAGATGTCTCTCACCTTGAATGTCAGGATGATTGGTCAAGAGGAGCAGTGCCCACTTCAGAACAGTGAAGGTTGTCTCTGATCCAGCACCAAAAAAATCAGAAATACACCGAGCCAGGTTATCTTCATTGTAGGTAGAGTTGATGTCATTCCTACTCTGATGTTTAAAATGGAAAATGAAAATTACAATGAATTCTATGCACGTTTTTTATAGTTATTTTGACTCTGTGCTGCAAGTCAAGAGAATAAATATATTCCTGGTAGTTATATTGGAAAATCAATGCATGAGAGTAAGAATTAAAGTGTTATGTTCACACTGAGTAAAACGCTATATTGAAGTAGCCAAGATCAAAGAGATATTTGTCTTTGGAAGAACTTGAATTCACCTCCTTTTATTTTGTGCTTCTTTGCCTTAGTAAATGCTTGCATGTGGAATGGTGATTAATATGTACCTACTATAGTGAATCACAAAACATCACAAGCAGGAGTAATTTAAAGTTATGCCCAAAAGTGATGCACATGACCGATCTCACTACCAGCTTTTGTGGCTACTCTGACACACCATGACAATTCATGCATTTTTCAGAGTACAGGTAGTCCTCAATTTACAACTGTTCGTTTGGTGATCATTCAAAGTTTCAATAGCAGTGAAAAACATGACGTCTACCTTCAAATGAATTGGGCTGCAGCCATCTTCACTTCATTTTCAGTTGCCACAGTGATGGGAGGAGGGAGATGTATTCTCTTAGTTTAGACACAACAATAACTATTCTATAGGAACCAAGGTCAAGTTACCTAAGTTTTGGCGGGATGAAGTTTCCGTTAGAAGGCCTGCGAAAGTAGTTAATTGGGGATTATGATTTATGACATACTGCAGGGGTGGAAAGTTCAAATTTTTACTTTGTAACCTTGGGGGGGAACTTTCAGTCTTGGTTTCACCTTTGTTCATGCCGAAACTATGTAGCCATTAAAAGTAGTTCTTTGAGGAAAGCAATTGCCTCGGAGTTCTTATTTTTATTGGTCTTATCTATCAGAACCATGACACTAAATAAGACTCAAAAAAATCTCTAAACCAAGGTGAGAGGTCCCATTGGAGAAGCTGACACAGAGAGAAGAAGTGTTCATCCTTGGAGGGACCTGGTGGTCAAACACTGCCCTGCTGCTCAGCAGCATGGTGAAAGCTGCAGAGGTTGAGTTCCTATTGATTTCGTCCCAGGGTTTCTGTTCACCTGTGATGTTGACATGGAATGAGTCAGGGGAATGGAAATACCTTAGCACTATCCACAGACACTCGGTCGAAAGTCTGAGGGAGAAGTTTGACAGGCTGGAGATGGGCAAAGGAGGACAGGTCACATGCCAGGTGATCTCAGGTGAGCAAGAAGACAGGCATTCCCATGAGCCTCTCCACCACTCCAACAAAGTCCCAGTCCCATAGCGATGATACGAGCCACCAATCTGCTGCCAAAACCAGACTTAAAGTCGAGTCCAGTGCACTGGCAGAGCCCTGACCACTACCGACACCATGCGTCTGGATCGACCCCAGCGACAGGTCAGTCCCGAGTATTACTGGTGTTCTGCCAGTCCTAATCAATGTTGGTGTCACCGTAGCCTGGAGGATCATCAATGTTTAGCCCTGACTGCTACCAATGCCCGGTAAACCCTCACCATTATCAGCACTATGCCAGCCCCAAGCACCATTGGTGCCTGGCCAGCCCAGCATGCTATCAATGCCCCAATGGCCCTGACCTCTACCATCATGCCAGCCCTGACTGTCATCAGCACCCTGCCAGCCTGGGACCCCCACCATTGATCTTCCATCAAGGGGGATTTCAGCAACCCCAACCCCTATTGCCTGATTTTCTGCAGGCTCTTTGGGAGCGACAACCTGCAGATCCACCACTCCCCTCAAGCCCACTTTTGACGGTGATCTCAAGAAGATGACTGTTTTCCTGAACCAGATATGGTCTTATGTAAATCATAATGGCCATGCTTACTTAGATGATGCCGAAATGGTTGATACTGTGGCTGCAAATTTGGAAGGGGAAGCTGTGGAGTGGATGGCTGTCCTATGTGAGGAGCAGGCACCCGAGCTATGGGATTTCAATCTATTCACATGTTGGCTGAGAACCAGGTTTGAAGATGAATCCCAGGCTGTGCAAGCCAAAAAAGACATCCATGATGTGAAGCAGGTTGGCCTGCAAGAGAATATGTAAAAGAATTTTGAAGATTGGCTGGATGGATCAGGCAGTGGCCTGAACAGTCATTGATCCACTACTTCAAAGCGGGGTTGGACCACGATCTGTTCCAAACGTGTATCTGCAGGGGGAATCTTGATCAACTCCATGATTGGTACTGTTTGGATATGAATTTGGATGTTGAACTGACCTGGTACCACAAGCCTGCAACTTCAGGACCCCAACCAAGGCAAGAGCCAGTGAGATGCCAAACATTATAACGCCCCCCCCCACTCCAGCAACTGGATTTATTAGGATTCCTGGGACTAGCTTGGCTTGACAAATGGCGCCCTAAGACTAGCAACTGGACCTTCACCTCCTCCCCCAATCAGTAGCCAGCCAAGGGTAGTACCTGGAGACCTTAAAGTCAAATGTGAGTCCCCTGCCTGGAGAACCACTCATCCCAAGTGAATATACACACCTAGCAGAAGCTCCAGCGAGGCAGAATGCAATCTCCTTCCCCCCCCCCGAACCACTATTGAAATTTTACTGGGAGCCAAATTACCCAAGCCAAAAATGTATTCAAATGTATACATTGATAAGAACCTAGCCAGAAGATTCATGCAGCCAGCAAAATCCCGAGTAGCCACCCCTGTGCTTTTCAAGGGAAAAAAGATGGATCAATGAGGCTGTGCATGGACTATAAGGGGTTAAACAATGATAGTGTGGAGAATATGTACCCCCTTCAAGTGATGAAAGATGTGTTAGCCCATTTGGCAAAAGGAGAAGTTTTTACCAAATTAGACCTAAGAGAGGCATATTATCGAGTAAGGCTGAAGAAAAGAGATGAAAAGGAAAATGGTTTTTAACAGCCCTTTGGGGACTTTCCAATTCAATGTTATGCCTTTTGGCCTGCAGGGGACCCCTGCTGTGTTCATGCAACTAATAAATCACGTACTGCATAATCACCTGTATAAGGGGGTTTTAGTCAACCTTGATGAAATCCTCATCTACACAGAGACCATGGCGTAGCATGTCAAATTAGTACGTGAAGTGCTCAAAAACTGCTAAACACTAAATTTTACACAAAGCTCTCAAAATGTAAGTTTCATCAAACACGTCTGGATTACCTAGGATATAGGATTTCCAGTAAAGGCATTGAGATGGATCCAGCTAAAGTGAAAGCTGTACAGGAATGGCAACCCCCACAGACGCGTAAGCAACTCCAGAGTTTTTTGGGATTTGGAAACTTCTACAGACAATTCATCCCCTCCTTTGCTGAAATTGCTTTGCCAATTACTGAACTGTTAAAAAGGGGAACAATGAGGGGAAACCATGAACCTGCCAATCACTGCCTTGGTCCATAAAATGCCAAACTGCTTTTGAGAATTTAAAGAGACTGTTTGCAGCAAAACCCATTCTCAAACATCCTGATCCTGAGAAACAATTTATCATCCAAGCCGATACCAGTGATGTGAATGTGGGGGCCATTCTTTTGAAAAGGAATGAGAAGGGGGATTTGCAGCCCTGCACCTAAACCTCCAAAAAGTTAACAGTAACTGAAAGAAGGTGGGTGGTCTGGGAGAAAGAGGCTTTCACACTCTAGTGGGCTCTGCTCACCTGGCATCATTTACTTGATTTGCCTTTTGAAGTGTAAATGATCACAAAAATCTAGAGGCACTAAAAAAAACCCCGCAAAGTTATTTCCTAAACAAGTCCAATGGATGCAGTATTTTAACCATTTCAATTTCATACTAAAACACATCTCGGGAGGAAAGAAATTCCTAGCTGATGCCCTATCCAGGCTGCCCCAATAGAAAAACCATTGAGAGGAGATTGTGAATGCCATCATTCTGCAACTACAGTCAATCTCTCAAGTAATGATAGCGAGGTAACCATGGGCAAAACCACCTGAATCTGATAGCCCATTGATGAAAAGGCTGAAGGAGGATTTGAAAATCGATTCCTGCTTCCTGGAAAACAAAACCATACTGACTTATCAGGATGTATTGGCTTGGAAGGGGTCTAAACTGTATCTACCAGAGACCCTTAGAGTTCAGTCCCTCCAACACAGTCATGATAGCAAACAAGCAGGTCATTTTGGATATCTGAAAAAATTACATTTAATTCAACGGCAATTTTGGTGGCCAGGATTAAAGAAGGGTGTTGAGAATTATGTGAAAAGCTGTGCAACTTGCGCAACAATGAAGAAATGTCCAGTTAAACTTATTGCAACAAATCGCAGATCCTTCCCAACCCTGGGAGAAGATTGCCATGGACTTTATTATGGAATTACCAGAAAGTAGAGGAAATATGGTAATATGGATTGTGATTGATCTTTTTCCAAAGCAAGCTCACTTCATTGCCTGGTCCAGTCTTCCCTCCACAAAGAAACTAGCAAGAATGTTTCTCAAGCATATTTACTGACTCCATGGAGCTCCAAAACAGATGTATAACAAGAGTATAATATTGCAGAAGTACAATATAGTCCTTATTTAGAAGCAACCGGAATTTAGAACAGGCAAAATTCAGAATGGGAGTTGAATGAAAAAGAAATAACTCCAAAGAAAACAATACCAGTATCTCCTCTTCTTACTTGTAGACAGAAATATAATAATCCCTTGCCCGTATTGAACTACAATAATCCCATACCTTCTCCATCTGAAGAAGATAGTGATCAATGAAATCTTGTGGCTCATGCAGACAGCTGGATTCCTTGTGTTTCTCTATTTCCTGCTTTGCAAAGGAATTAATCACCTCTATCGAAGCCAAGGCATCCTGGTGAGGGCCCGGGAGATAGTTCATTAATCGTGGGAACATAATAAACATCTAATAGAAATGGAAAAGGAAAATACAACAAAAGAAGACTTTCAGCAGTTTACAGTAATAGACAGCACTTAATAACCAAAGAAAAACATTGCAAGCACATTGAAACATGGCAAACATTACATGATGTCAGGCCTCAAAAGTCCTCCAGAAAAGCTGTTTCCAAATTCTTCCAGAAAAGAATCAGGTTAGGGGCAGATAGATTATTTTAAAGCTAATATAAAATTCTCTTATTCTCTCATTCTCTCCAGGAGTCTTTGTAAATATGTTAACCTATGGCTAACTAATTTAATAAATTAGACCAACTGGATTCACATGCCAGGCTAAATAATAAATTAACTACATGGGTTGGATTTTCGGTCTGCTAGATTTTCATAACAGAATAACAGAGTTGGAAGGGACCTTGGAGGTCTTTTTATCCAATCCACTATTCAAGTAAGAGACTCTATACCATTTCAGACAATGACTGGCCAATCTCTTCTTTAAAATCTCCAGTGGTGGAGCATCCACAACATCTGGAGGCCAGCTATTCCACTGGTTAATTGTTCTCCCTGTCAGGAAATTTCTCCTTAGTTCTAGGTTGGTTCTCTCCTTGATTAATTCCCATCCATTGCTTCTTGTCTTGTCTTCAGGAGCTTTGGAGAATAGGTTGACCCCCCCCCCTCTTCTCTGGGGCAACCTCTTAGATATTGTACTGCTAACATGGCACCATTACTCTTTCTTTTCACTGGATTAGATATAACCACTTCCTGCAGCTGTTCTTCATATGTTTTAGTCTCCTGCCCCCCAATCATCTTTGTTGCTCTTCTCTGCACTCTTTCCCAGAGTCTCAAGATATTTTTTATATTTTGGCAACCAAAACTGGATGCAATATTCCAATTGTGGTCTTATCAAGGCCTTATAAATCAGTTCTAACCCTTCATGTGATCTTTATTCTATCCCTCTGTTAACGTGGCCTAGGACTGTATTGGCTTTTTTGGTGGCTGCAGAAGAAGAATTTCTGCATGGAAGCAATGGGCTTAAATCATAATGAAGCAGATGTTGGTTTGCTATTAAGAAAAATTTGAAAGATGTGTTCCATGACAGACTGATCCAGGAAGTGATGGACCATTTTTTCTAGAAGCGTTTAAACAAAGGATGGACAGCCCTCTCCTAGTGATACTGAAATAATGGATTCCTTCCTGGGCAGTAACACTTTGGTATAGTTGTTAATCCATCAGCCTAGAAACTCAGATATTCTGAGTATTAGTCCCAACTCAAGCACTAAGATGATGATGATGATGATGATGATGATGATGATGATGATGATGATGATGGTGGTGGTGGTGGTGGTGGTGATGGTAGTGGTGGTGGTGGTGGTGGTGGTGGTGGTGGTGGTGGTGGTGGTGGTGGTGGAAGGGACCTTGGAGGTCATCTAGGCCAACGCCCTGCTCAGACAGGAAATCCTATACTATTTCAAACAAATGGCTATCCAGTCTCTTCTTAAAAACTTTTAGGGTTGGAGCATTCACTGCTTCTGGAGGCAGGTTGTTCCACTGGTTAATTGTTCTAACTGTCAGGAAGTTTCTCCTTAATTCTAGTTTGCTTCTCTCATTGATTAGTTTCCATCTGTTGCTTCTTGTCCTGCCTTCAGGCACTTTGGAGAATAGCTTGACTCCCTCTTCTTTGTGGCAGACCCTGGTTGATTGGGTGACACTGACCAGTCCCTCTTTCTCAGCCCTAGGAAGTGGGCAATGGCAAACCACTTCCGAAATCTTGACAAGGAAACTGCAAAGACTTGTCTTGGCCACTGGGGATAATAGTACAATAGATGATTTCCAAGGCTTCCTCCATGGATTCCATTCATGATTACATGAAAATATTAATGGAAACAGTTTTGTCTCTTTAACAGAAAACATGACTCACCACATAAAAAAAGCTACCACTGAATTTCACAATAATTTCTGATGCTTTAATTAGCTTCTGGAAGTTTTCATCTTCAGGTTCAAACTGATGACCAAAACTCAAAGCACATATGACATTAGAAACTGCATTTATTACTGGAATTGAAGGGTCAAATGGCTGTCCTGCAAATGAAGATATTTCATAATCAATTATTAAAGAACAGAACATCTATGCAATGAACAACATAATTGGGAACTTCAATTGTTTCAAAAAAATTCAAAAATCTTATCAAATATGTCTGTTCTTGTTTGAAATACACAGAATGGAAAAGAATTCTGCAGACACTTGAACGATTAGCCCAAATTGCATACCTTTTGTTTTTTTAAATGTTTCCACCAATGTCTGAGCTGCGTCTTCTATCTGATGCTCAGTGCTCTTCTTCCCCAGGCCCAGCTTCCTCAGAGTAGTGATGCCGATGTGTCGCTGCTGTTTCCAGACATGGCCATTGGAGAAAATAATACCTGAGGGCATCAGCAGAGAATGATAGGCGATTCCTGAGACATTCATGTTAAAAAATAAAACAGGTCTAGTTCTTGGAAACATCTCTATGAATTTCAGGTATGAGTACCAAGCCTTTGTGCAATGTTGCCATTTTTATTATAATATTTATTCATGTTGGGAGTCAGGTGGACACTGAGAGACATGTGCGGTACAGTTGCAGTGCTTGCCAGCTTCTATGATGGACATCAAAAGCTTCTAAGATGATGTAAAGGTTCACGTACGAGAACATGTTATAGGCACAAGTGACAGGATGTTCTCAATGGTAATAGAATCCATTTGTAACTTCCTCCTACAAGATATATGGAGTTTCTCAGTCATCCAGATCATAATTATCCCAAAGGTCCTTTTTCAGAAGGCAACTGGACTGTCTTGTTTTTCTTTTGAAGACGTTTCACCTCATCCTAGAAGCTACTTCAGCTCTGACTGGTGAGGAATGGAAGGATTTATACTCCTTGCAGACTGCTAGTCATTTGCATTCTTTCAGAGAGTCATTGAGGTCATTAGGAGGTTTACCTGTGTCCTCGGGGTCACTTTTGTAGTACAAATGTGTGTGGAGCCTTCTTGGCTGCAGGATGTTTTCTGCCCTGTGTCCCATCACTATTGAAGACAGGCGTGGGCTGTTGGGGATGAGTCCGTGTTGTCTGCATCTCAAACTGAATCACTGAATTACTGAGAATCTCCATAGACATTTGCAGATATTTCATTCCACGAACTAGGTAACATCATCAGTTCTCTCTTTGTCAAGTTTCCATCCATTACAGGTAGTCCTTGACTAACACCAGTTTATTTAGTGACAGTTTGAAGTTACAATGGCACTAAAAAAAGGGACTTATGATCACTTTCACACTTACAACCATGCAGCTATCCCATGTTCATGTGATGCTTTGCAACTGGTTCATATTTATATCAGTTGCAGTGTTGTGAGATCATGTGAACCCTTTTGAGACTTTCTGACAAGCAAAGTCAATGGGGAAGCCAGTTTCACTTAACAAACATGTTACTAATTTGACAACTGCTATGATTCCCTTAACAACTGTGGCAAGAAAGGCTGTAAAATGGGGCAAAATAAATAGAGTTTAAAATACATACTTCCATTTTCTTTAATAAGATCAAAGGATAGTTGAATAAAAATTCTAGCAAGTGACTTCCGGTTTGTAATTGCAGCGCCAGCGGATGCATGGGAGAGCGCTCTCTCCATTCAGTTTTCCTTTGTCGGAAGACTCTGAAAAGGGTCGAAAGTCACCCTGGAGGGGCAACCACCATGAGGAGGACCCTCGACAGATCGTGGAAGGGTGGCAGCCCTTCTGTTTGATCCAAGGCAGCTCCTTTGGACTGACAAAGAAAAGATCGGCCGTTAACATGGCCGATCACTAAGCTGTACCAGCCAAAAGCCAAAAGCACTACCAAGCACAACGAAAGCACTGCAGAGGAATTGGGTGAGACCTTATCTTACCTTTCTTGCATCCCAACTATCTTCCTGTAAAAGCCTTTGGAAATTTCTTCCCCCCTCTTAACTTGGTGGCTTCTGTCTACCCTGGGAATACAAAGTTTTTGGGGGAAAATGAACAACTAAACTAAACAACTAAATAATTGGACTTGCACTTTTTGGATATTTGGGGTCCCAAAAGGTTCCTATTTCTATGGGGATCTATTACCTTACCTATCTGCTAAGTTGAAAAAAAAGAATATTTTTTCTTAAACTGGATAAAAGGCTAACTTGAGTTTGGAAAAAGACTTTACATGCTACTGGGGATATCTTATAGTAAAATTTGGTACAGCAAGTGAATTTCCTTTTGACTGAGCGTCCTGTGAGACTAAGATTTGTCTTTGGCACTATCAAAAAAGATAAGAATTTGAAACAGCTGGGTGGTGAAAACAATTCTTTATAGTGAAGGTGGGTGTTTACTGACTTTTATCAAAAATAGCCTCCACTAAAGGACTATCTCTAAACACCATAGAAATGGAGGGATACTACCCACAATTTAGCTACAAACTTATACTTGAAAAAATCCTTGAGGCCACTGAGCTAATGAATTCCAGACTGAAAGATAAAGGCACCACCTTAAAGCTACAAAATGCAGCCCAGATTTCAACTGATGAACTTACAATCCAAAATGCAACAGAAGAGGAAGAAATTAACATCAAAGTAGACTTTAAAGAATACCAGCTACAACCTACTGAGAACCCTGATAACCAAATCTTGATCTTAACTAAAAAATCTGCAATTTAAACAGCAACAGAAACTGAAGAAAGCAATACTAAGATGGAAGTTGCTGAAGACCAACATGTACAGCACATTGGGAACCTAGACAACCTAGACAACCAAACAACAATTATAACACTGAACATGACTTTTTACTTCAAAGTAAACTGGAAGAAGAAGAAGACCAAACAAAACTGACGACAAATATACTAAGCCAAATATGGTGATTTGAATTCTTAGGCCAACAATTCAATGATTATGAAGGGGCCAGCTCCCTTGAAAAATTGATAATTGGATGGTCTCCCTTGATTCAAATGATAGGTGTAGGAATGAAGGGAGATCCACCTGAGGATTTAAAGGCACTGCTATGGAAGCCTGTTTGGCACAAAAAGAAAGCTAGAGTTAGACTTAAAAAGTGGGATTTTTTTATGTGACCTATGATGGAAGAGCTTAAAATCTCATTTAATGAGCTGAGATTTTAAAGGATACTAACTGATTTAATATTTAGGATTTAGACTTATAAGGGAAATAAAAAATAGGCACTAGAATAATAGTTTTGAATTATAATATAGAAGTTGGATTGAGATGATAAAGGTTATTTTATTAGTAAGTGATGTGGTACTAGGATGAGAAATAAAATATGTTCGTGAAATAAAGTAAGAATTTACTCAAGTAAATAATAAGTGTATTTTAGATATGACAACTATTTTGTAATGAACTAAGGGAACTTTGGGCTACCCGAAATCTAAATATTATGGATTTTAAGCTAACTGGAATACTGTAATTGAAATTAGGTAAAATTTAAAAACAGGACATGGAGGCGTATAAGTTAAAATATATTGATAAATGTCTTAACCAATTGAGTTATAACTAGCAATGTATTAATTTGAATGTGATATAATAACGAAGGGAAATAGAGAGGAAATTTTTGATGATGTAACCTGACATGTGTATGAAAGAGCTTGTTATTGGATTATGGATTACCCAATCACCACGTTGCTTCCTTAATACTTGGACTTTTGTAAAATTGGAAAATTAATAAAACTTTTTTTAAAAAAAATTCTAGCAAGTGAAATAATGTTCACGACATGGCAGAGATGATGAACCTTTTGTGGTCATTGTGTCAAAAATTCACGAAAAGTCTAACCTGACTCTACTTTGCCAGTTAGACCTTCTGCCTTAGCCCCTGGTGCCTTGTTAAAGCTACTCATGACCAATTTTATGACCTCTTTTGAGATGGTTGTTAAGCTATGTCATTGTTTTTAGTCTATTGAAACTTCAAATGGTTGTTAAACAAATGGTTGTAAATCAAGAAGTACCTGTAGTCCTCTCCTCCTAAAACTCTCTCTTTCCAACCACTTTCCCTCCCACTTGGGAATGTTTCTGTGAACTTGGAGTGCATGCTTAGAGTTTAGAACACTTTTCCCAGGCCAGGTTTCCACCTTGCATTTATCAGAAAACAAAAATAGTTGATGGGTCTGAGTGATCATGGGTGGTGGGCAGTGTTGTTACTTTCTCATTCTATCTGAGGTTTAGGAGCTCCGATCCAAGGTATGTAAGTGTTTAAATTGTTAAATTTGGGATATGATCGGACACGCTGTATGAATGTATTTATTTTATTGTTTTATTGTCATGTTATTGTTTTAATTTTATATGCCGCCCTGAGTCCCTTGGGATTGGGCGGCATATAAATTTTAGAAATAAATAAATAAGATAATTAGGGCTGCTGATTTTATTCCAATTTTGGAAATTTTATTATCTTGCAATAGATCCTCAACTAAACCTAACTCTTATACATAGAAAGTAGTGAAAGGTCATGGTTATGTATGTGGGTAGTCAGTATGAAATGGGTGCCTTTTGGTGGGTTGGCCATAGAGAGAATTGGTGAAAATCAAATCTGAAGAAAGAGGCAAAATTTGAAAAAAGAAGCAAAATATGAAACAAAGGAAAGGACTGAAGAGGTAAAGGAAGATTGGGAAAGATTTTGTCAAAACTTTATGGGGAAGATGAGAGTCTGAAAAAAAGCAGATAGATATTCAGTGAAAAAGAAGTAATGTCTAAGTCAACGTATGAATGTAATGGACAAGATAAAATGCAATTGAGACAGATAATGTGTGTTTGGGGATTATGTGTGTGGGACTTGGTCTTTGGGTGTGACGTAAATTTTGTTGTATGTGTATACTGTGTATACACATACAATGACAATAAAGTTTATTATTATTAATAATTTGGTGTAAACTGGATTATAGCAATATTTCCTTTGCTTAGCTCAGGACTTTAAATCATATTGTTAACTATCCCTTACTTTTCCCCCATCCCATGTTATGCATATTATTCACACAAATTGTAACAGTATGATGGTAATTTAGATACAATTCCTTACTATTTGCACTTACCCTTTTTTTTCCCCAAAGCGATCACGAAAGCATCTTCTATTCTACCAGAGAATTCCTCTGGGAAGCTGGTCATTACTTCTTTCACAGTTTTGAATCCAGACAGCACTACTATAAAGTGAGGTCCAGCCCACATGGTGTATATATTTCCATATTGTTTTACAGGCTGCCAAGTGAATCAAAGTTAAGAAATGTTATAATCAAATAAAACAGATTTATAAGTGGTCCTTGGTGCTTTCTGAGCTTGCTTGTTTTCATTTCTTTCGTTTAATTACCCCAGCTGGTTAACACCATCAGTGCTAGTAAGGAGTGCGGTTTGCTGTCAGTTTACAATATGTTCTGATGTCTTTCAGATCTGGGTGGGAACGGCGGTCTTAGGATTCTTCGGTGCGGCTGTTTACTAATGGCTCTATAGCAGTTCCTTGATTGGGGTTTTGCTTACTTGATTGTTGATCTGAAGTTGACCTTGGAGTTAATCTATGCCAGTGGTTCTCAACCTGTGGGTCAGGGCCCCATTTGGGGTCGAACGACCATTTCACAGGGGTCGTCAAACAACGCAGTCCGCCATTCTTTCCCCTTTTCCTTAGCTGTGCTAGTCCCTTTTATTCTATTGGCACTTGAAAGCCAATAGAATAGACTCTCTTGAATAGAGTCTAATTCTATTGGCTTTCAAAAGCCAATAGGAATTGTCCAGGCTGTCTCTGCCCTGCTGAGTCTGCCAAAAGTCCCATTCTGCAAATGGTGCTGCAAGTTGTCTGCTGCGAAGGTGAGCTGTCTGGAAGCTTCCACCCCTCCCTGCTGAGCAACTACTAAAATGTAAGTAAAAGAGGGCCAGGGGTGGGAGGTGGGAGGCCGGCGGGTGCAGGGAGAGCTGCTGGTGCACGTGGCTGCTGGCGGGTGCCTTACCTCCCTTGGGCTGGGACAGCTGGTGGTCCAGCCAGTGGTCGGCCTGCGCCGTCTCTGCCACTTGCCACCTATGCCTCAGCCGGCACAGGGGGTGGCACCACGCATGTGTGGCGCTCCCGGGCAGGGAAAGTCCTTGACTTACGATTGGTTGGGTAGTCCTCGATTTATGACAGGTTGGGGGTTGCAGCATTAAAAAGGTTGAGAACCACTGATCTATGTTGATCTGAGTGCTAATTACTGGTGGAGAGGTGCTCCAGTGTCTTTCTCTTCTGGGCTGATTGATTGTCTCCTTTGCATAGTCTATAGATGTTGTTAATGTCTATATGGTCTATTGATTATGTCTCTATGTGTCTATTGAGCATTTATTATTTATAGTTAATATGTCACTTACAGTCCTTCCTAAATCCTCAGTTCTAAGGTTTTTTACCATATGCGATTATCTGTTCTTTAGAAATTTATTCCCCCCAACCCCAGATTCCTGCCAAAAACTTTTGCACTTGTATTTCGTTTATTTTCCTGTCATGTGCCTTTCTCTTTATTTCTGCTTGAAAACCACCATCTCCAATCTGTTTGCTCCATTCACCCTTGCCTTAGATCAGGCATGTCAAACTCACACGTCACGTGATGTCGCGTGACATATCAGGACTTTTTCCCCATTGCCGGCACTGGGGTGGGCATGGTTTTGGAGTGACACATCCAGCCCGCGGGGTGACAGTTTGACATGCCTGCCTTAATGAGAGATGGCTTTCTCACTGCCCAGTCCTCCTGTGATTGACAGATATGTGAGCCACAGCTTGTCTATGAGTCACATCTTTTGAACACTACCGTTTGGATGCTCTTCAGAGGCTTTATCAACCTCTCTGCCTTCTGCTTTTTTCAGTCATCCATTCCTCAACTTTCCAACTGCAGTTACATTGACAGAACATTCTAGAGACTTGGGCTGCTGAATTAAAGCTGAATTAAAATTGGCCACAAGAGCAGTATTATCCTTATGAATTATTCAGTAAGTTGTTAAAATAATTGATCAACTTTCCTATTTTTGGTTCTATTTTTATTTAATTCAAAAGAAAAGTTAAAACACGAAACTCAAAAAATATTTTAAAGAAAGAAAAAATAGAAAACAAACATTTTTAAAAGTGGTGCATTAAAAAAAAGAAAAGACTAACACACATACACAATATTAGTTTTCCACCCCTTGAGAAACTGGCTCCCAGGGGCTTCCTGGTTTTGCATCTGCAGTGTATGGCCGTGCGAGAGCGGACCTCTGCTCCCCACGGCTAGTTTCCTCCCTTCCTAGATGGGTCTGAAGTTGCTCCGGAGAGATGAATGTGAAGGAGGGGTGCCCCATCAATCACGAAGTGATGGCAATCACTTTGTTTGATCCTGGGAAAGGCCTCCGAACCTGACAGAAGAAAGGCTAGTGTGAGATCAGCATCTAGCCCAAGCTGCTCGCAGAAGTCCCAGAGCACAAACCTAAACATCGGTGAACAGTGTGCTTGGAATTGGTGAGAGTACTGATCTTCTTTCTTCTATCTACTATTTAAATCCTTGAAAAGATCCCCAAAGCAAGAAAACCTCCAGAAGTGAAGGGAGGGGACTATATCCCCATTCCCTTACAGACGGAATTGGTGAATTCACATAAAAGGTTGGAAAGAGATATACTTTGTTGCTGTTAATTGCGAAGTCGTGTCCGACCCATCGTGACCCCAAGAGATATACTAAAATTTGATTTAAAATATTTCAGTCTGGACAAATCTAGGAACTAAAAAACTGTCAAGATTATACCCTAAAAAAATTCTGATGGAATTATAAAAATATATAACAAAAATAACTTTTTGATTGAAAAAAAAACTGAAAAAGGAAATAATTGCTGACATCTAGTGGAGAATCATAGAACACTGACAATAAGGACTCAGAAATTGGCAGAATGCCCAGAAAAAAAGAAAAAGTTGTTCCTTTAAATTGCAAATAACCTTGAAGACAGCTGGGAACAAAGGAAGAGCCAGCTATATGATTAAAAAGTGTTTGAAAGAAAAAAGAAAAAAAACACCTGGACTATTGCTTAAGCCTAAGAACTGTTTATGGAGGGAAAAACAACCTTGGCTTATTGGTTAATCTTTTAGAGGAGAATTTGCAGGAAGGATTTAAAGTGGCTTACTATACTGAATCTGTAATTTTGACTGACTGATAAATTGACTTTCGAATTAAAACATTGATGGAAGATTATTTGAAGGGGGGAGACAACATGGATATCACATACGTATCACAAAATGCCAATTCAATATTTTCTTCTGAAAGACTTCACCTGGAAAATCAAGGGCCTCCGGAAACAATACTTCAAGGCAAGATAAATACTTTCCCAGAGGAAATATATGTAATGTTAGGACAAATACAAATGACAATAGATTCAAACCACGACAAAATTTGAAACAACTTCGAGAATTTAAATAAGCATACTCCACAATTAAAAAAATACCCAGGAAATAACAACAAAGGAACAACCAAATCAGACAGCAGATTACAAACTAGAAGCATATGATTAAATTGATGAAATAACAAAGGAAAAGAATTACAATTTGACACAAACAGGAAAAAATCTGCAAGGTTCTGATACAACCAGAAAAATGGAATTATTAGGAGAACTATTAAAGTTTGGGGGACAGAAAGAATTTATCTTACTTACTTCCTCTTTTGTATTTACCCAACAATATTTGTAAAAATACAGGAACTGCTGGGCAAGCGGATTACATCAACTTGGAAAATTACTTGGCAAAAGAAGATCAGAGACAGATACAAGAGGTTTGACTCACCTACCAGATGGACTATTACGTGAATAAATATTTGTTTGAATATGGCTAAAAGAACAGAGAATTTCGAACATAAAGGGGCCATATAACAAGAAGGATAATGAGATTTAAGTAATATAGTTTGTTTTATAATATATTAAATGTTGAAATAATAGATTGATGTAACTTTTATTAATATATAAGTAAAATATAAACTTGATTAAAAAGGATGTTATATCTAGGTACTATAAGACAGATAAAAAGTATAGTATTTTTATAATGCATGACATAAAGTATTGGGATGATGTACCTAAATGGGAAAATTTAGACAGTGAGATGACTAATATGAAGAAATTATGACTGCTAAGAATTGGATTGAATATAAGGGAATCTAAGCGAACAAAAATTATAAAAATAGGATGTATGCTGAACTAATGAGATGATGGTTATGAGAATAATGTAAGCTGAAAAAAATGTTATATAGAGAGATTATTATTATTTGTATAAATATAAAAAATGCCTGTGCCTAATCATTTATATATTGAAAATATTAAGAATTATTTTTTGGCTAAGGTTGAAGAAGGAAAATACAAATGGGAGAAGGGAAGATCAAAGAAATGTATTATTAATATATTAATTATGGAATTATCAAATTTAATCATTATTGATTGTGAATTAATTATTACTGTACTTTTTTTCTTGTTAAAATATAATACCAAGACAACACGCTGTGCACCAGGCACTGGAGATTGTTATAGTTAAAAACCAATAAAATATCTATTTAAAAAAAAAAGAGAGAGAGAGAAACTGGCTCCCAAATTTTTAAACTACTAAATCTATTTGCAAATTATTAATGTGTCATCTATATATTATATTAATGAAAAAGTAGTTAATAATAATAACAATGGCAAGATTAAAGTTTCAAAACCCTCTGTTAAGAAACTGTTATTTTAATCAACTCGTAGAAAATCTACCATGCTCTTAAATATCCCAAATCATTCCACGAGTTAACAGTAATTCATCCTAGATTAAATATCCACATTTGTTTCTTAATACATCTTTTCGATATTTGTCTGGTTAAATATAATAAATTCAAATTCCAAAGTTTGTTATCTAACTAAAAAAGTCCAGATGAAATTGATTTCCGGTTAAGTGTGATAAATTCATTCCCCAAATTGTTTTCAATCTGCCTAGGGAAAATCAATTTATCACTTCTCCACTCAGTTAGGTTTCTGCCATTGTAAAAGAATTCAGACTTGAACTTCATGGAGTTGTGTGCAATCAACTCAAGTTACTGCTCAGTCTGTACAGTCCATATTTCTTTCCAGTGAATCTGTTGCTTTCAAATCACATTCCTTTTCTGAATCTAATTTATCCACAACTACATGCATCTGAATATTTTCCACAGCCGTTATCGTTTCATCAGACTTTTTAAAAAGGATTTCAACTAAGGATTGTAAGTTATCAATTTTTTTTATCAGATATCAGACAAATTTGCTGGTCTGTAATCTGATACAACCCCTTTATGCATTACTGCCTTGTCGTGGCGAAGGGGCTTGTGTAACTCAATGAAGCTATAAGCTATGCCATGCAGGGCCACCCAAGACGGACAGGTCATAGCAGAGAGTTCTGACAAAATGTGATCCACTGGAGAAGGAAATGGCAAACCACTCCAGTATCTTTGCCATGAAAACCCCATGGACAGTACTAAAAGGAAAAAAGATATGACGCTGGAAGGTGAGCCCCTCAGGTTGGAAGGTGTCCAGTATGCTACTGGGGAAGAGCAGAGGGCTAGTACTAGTATCGCCAGAAAGAATGAAGCGACTGGGCCAAAGCCGAAAGGACGCTCAGCTGTGGATATATCTGGTGGTGAAAGGAAAGTCCGATGCTGTAAAGATTTTTTCTCCATAGGAACCTGGAATGTAAGATCCATGAATCAAGGCAAGCTAGACGTAGTCAAAAAGAGATGACAAGACTGAACATCGACATCTTAGGAATCAGCGAACTAAAATGGATAGGAATGGGTGAATTTAACTCAGATGACCATCAGGTATACTACTGTGGGCAAGAATCCCTCAGAAGAAATGGAGTAGCCTTCATAGTCAATAAAAGAATAGGAAAAGCAATACTGGGATACAATCCCCAAAATGATAGAATGATCTCAATTCGAATCCAAGGCAAACCATTCAATATTACAATAATCCAAATCTATGCCCCAACCACTGGTGCTGAAGAGGATGAAATTGAGTGGTTCTATGAAGCCCTACAGCACCTTATAGAATTAACACCAAAAAATGATTTCCTTATCATCATGGGGGATTGGAATGCTAAGGTAGGAAGCCAAAAGATAACCGGAATAACAGGCAAGTTTGGCCTTGGAGTACAAAATGAAGCAGGGCACAGGCTGATAGAATTTTGTCAAGAGAATACTATGGTCATAACAAACACTCTTTTCCAACAACCCAAGAGACGGCTCTACACATGGACATCACCAGACGGTCAACACAGAAATCAGATTGACTATGTGCTCTGCAGCCAAAGATGGAGAAGCTCTATACAGTCAGTAAAAACAAGACCATGAGCTGACTGTGGCTCAGATCATGAGCTTCTCATTGCAAAATTTAGGCTTAAATTTAAAAAAGTAGGGAAAAGCACTAGGCCACTCAGGTATGAACTAAATCATATTCCTAATGAATATACAGTAGAGGTGACAAATAGATTTAAGGAATTAGATCTGATAGACAGAGTGCCTGAATAACTATGGATGGAAGTTCGCAACATTGTACAAGAGGTATCAACTAAAACCATCCCAAAGAAAAAGAAATGCAAGAAAGCAAAATGGCTGTCTGAGGAAGCTTTGCAAATAGCTGAGGAAAGAAGGGAAGCGAAAGGCAAAGGAGAAAGAGAAAGATACACCCAATTGAATGCAGAATTCCAGAGAATAGCTAGAAGAGATCAGAATGCCTTCTTAAATGAACAGTGCAAAGAAATAGAAGAAAACAACAAAATAGGGAGGACCAGAGATCTCTTCAAGAAAATTGGAGATATGAAGGGAACATTTCATGCAAAGATGGGCATGATAAAGGACCAAAATGGCAGAGACCTAACAGAGGCTGAAGAGATTAAGAAGAGATGGCAAAACTACACAGAAGAACTATACAAGAATGAGCTTAACATCCCAGATAACCACAATGAGATGGTCATTGACCTCGAACCAGACATCCTAGAATGTGAAGTGAAATGGGCCTTAGAAAATCTCAGCAACAACAAAGCTAGTGGAGGTGACAGTATTCCAGCTGAGCTATTCAAAATCTTAAAAGACGATGCAGTAAAAGTGCTACACTCAATTGGCCAGCAAATTTGGAAAACTCAACAGTGGCCACAGGATTGGAAAAGGTCAGTTTACATTCCAATTCCAAAGAAAGGCAATGCCAAAGAATGTTCAAACTATCGCACCATTGCACTCATGTCACATGCTAGTAAAGTTATGCTTAAAATCCTACAAGCTAGACTCCAGCAGTATGTGGATCGAGAACTACCAGAAGTACAGGCAGGATTTTGAAGAGGCAGAGGAACTAGAGATCAAATTGCCAACATACGCTGGATCATGGAGAAAGCTAGGGAGTTCCGGAAAAACATCTACTTCTGCTTCATTGACTATGCTAAAGCCTTTGATTGTGTGGATCACAACAAATTGTGGCAAGTTCTTAAAGAGATGGGAATACCAGACCATCTTATTTGTCTCTTGAGAAACCTATATGCTGGTCAAGAAGCAACAGTGAGAACTGGACACGGAACCACTGATTGGTTCAAAATTGGAAAAGGAGTCTGGCAAGGCTGTATACTGTCGCCCTGCCTATTTAACCTATATGCAGAGCACATCATGAGAAATGAAACAAAATGATGAAACAAAAGTTGGAATTAAGATTGCCGGGAGAAATATCAACAACCTAATATATGCAGATGATACCACTCTAATGGCAGAAAGTGAAGAGGAACTAAAGAGCCTCTTGATGCGGGTGAAGAAGGAGAGTGCAAAAGTTGGCTTGAAACTCAACATTAAGAAAACCAAAATCATGGCATCCGGCCCTCTCAATTCCTGCAAATAGATGGGGAAGAAATGGAGGTAGTGACAGATTTTATTTTTCTGGGCTCAAAGATCACCTCAGATGGGGACTGCAGCCAAGAAATTAAAAGACGCTTGCTCCTGGGGAGGAAAGCTATGGCAAATCTAGACAGCATACTAAAAAGCAGAGACATCACCCTGCCAACAAAGTGCGTATAGTCCAGGCCATGGTTTTCCCAGTTGCAATGTATGGCTGTGAAAGCTGGACCATAAGAAAGGCTGAGTGCCAAAGAATTGAGGCCTTTGAACTATGGTGCTGGAGAAGACTCCTGCGGGTCCCTTGGACTGCAAGGCGTTCAAACCGGTCAGTCCTAGAAGAGATCAACCCCGACTGCTCTTTAGAAGGCCAGATCCTGAAGTTGAAACTCAAATACTTTGGCCACCTAATGAGAAGGAAGGACTCACTGGAGAAGGGCCTAATGCTGGGAAAGATTGAGGGCAATAGAAGAAGGGGACGACAGAGAATGAGATTGCTGGATGGAGTCACTGAAGCAGTAGGTGTGAACTTAAATGGACTCCAGAAGATGGTAGAGGACAGGAAGACCTGGAGGAACGTTGTCCATGGGGTCACGATGGGTCGGACACGACTTCGCAATTAAAAACAACAACAATCTGATACATTGTTGCTTTGTGTAATTTAGCAATGATACATGAAAAAAACAGGAAAGACAAAATCCTGAAGCAAAGTGAAGAACTAGATAATGAAGCAGGGAAAATATTTTCTGGATATTTTGATCCAAAGTTAAAATAAAAATAAAAAAAATAAACTTCAAATATTTTACAAAATTAATAAAATGAAATAATCTTGTGGTGAGAGTCCAATATAGATCAAATGAAAGTATTTCCACTACCCAAGAACACACTATATTTCCTTTCAGAAAAGTAAACCTTTTTCAAAACAACCACATAAATCAAAAGGAAAAAGGAAACAAAAGAACTTCTAAAGTCCAGCAAGGGGTTAAAATAAATCAGCATTCAGTCAGTCAGTATACTTTTAAAAATAAAAGGCAAAATAAAACAAAAGATTCAAAAAGTTAAAACCCAGGCATGCTTAAGAAAACAAATTGCTGAAAGGAAAATGGATGACTGGTGACATTCTGACCGCTTCCACAGGGACCTGGAATCTTCACAACTCCCCTTCTCAGGCTATCCAAAAGCTCTCATAAGTGTTCTCATTCATATTCAGGGAGCAGCACTGCCAGAGAACCAGCTTTGGCAGCAAAATCAGCAGATGAAAAACTCCTACCATTGAGTAGCCAACTTGAGGAGATCCATAGATCCATAGATCTGTTAGAACACAGATCTATAAAGCTTTTGAAAGCATTATAGAATTGCATAATTAGAAGGGGCCATTAGGGCTATCCAGTTCCACCTATTGCCCACCGCAGGAATATAGAATAAAGCATCTTCAACAGAAGAATGTCTAGCTTCATTTGAGCAGAATGAAGGAGAAGTCACCCTTCTCTCTGAAGAATTGGTTCCATTATGAAACATTTTTTGGTAAAACTGAACTAGAATCTGCCCCCTAAAAACTCAACCCCATTTATTTCACATCCTCCTCTGTGAAACAGTGGTGAGCAGGTCTTCACTTGAATATTTTGGCACTGGAAATGGCGGCGCATGTATATGCAGCAGCTCGACACTCCAGAGACCAGTATTTTTTAATTAATTTATTGTTTGTGTATTTTTTAGTGAGTGCTCTGCACGTTCAGGCACAAGTAGTTTACAGTTGACAAGAGTTATTAATCATTGTAAAGATGTAACACTGTAACATCTTTACAATGATTAATAACTCTTGTCAACTGTAAACTACTTGTGCCTGAACGTGCAGAGCACTCACTAAAAAATACACAAACAATAAATTAATTAAAAAATACCGGTCTCTGGAGTGTCGAGCTGCTGCATATACATGCGCCACCATTTCAAGTGTTACATCTGTACTAAAGAGACAGTTTCATGTATTGGCATTACATTTCTACAATTATTTTTCTACAATTTTATAAAAGTTATTCTTTTATAAAATTGTAGAAAAATAATTGTAGAAATGTAATGCCAATATATGAAACTGTCTCTTTAGTACAGATGTAACACTGTAACACAAATGTAGCAATACACTGCCAAATGTGTGAGAAGGTTTGTTCAATGTTTACTGCCTAAAATTCCTCCAGACACAGGAACTTACACTTTGAGTGGAAATCCTTCTGATTTGGAATACTTGGCAGTGAAATGCCCTTTTATCTGCCTCGTGAATTTAACATTGTGATAACAACTGTAGTATATATACCTCCTGATGGTAACACGACCACAGCCATGAGTTACCTGTTAACTGCTATTAGCAAACAGCAACAGGCCTACCCGGATGGAGTGCTGGTGGTTGCAGGTGATTTCAATCAAGCCAACTTAAAGGCTGTCCTCCCTAAGTTCTATCAGTATGTAGACTGTCCCCCTAGAGGGAAAAATACCTTGGATCAGGTATATAGTAACATCATGCATGGATACAGGACTATGCCTTTACCCCACCTGGGACAGTCAGATCATATATCTGTGTTCTTGATCCCATCATATAGACCTCTTGTCAACAGAATTAGACCATCAATTAGAGAAATACAAGTGTGGCCAGAGGGTGCATCAGAGCGACTTCAAGATTGTTTTGGGAGTACTGATTGGGCACTGTTTGAGGAGAACAATATTGACACTTACACTTCAACAGTACTGTTTTACATTAAAAGCTGCATTGATGTTGTCACTACCACCAGACAAGTACGGGTGTTCTCTAACAACAAGCCCTGGATAAATAGAAAAGTGTGTCTTTTATTAAGAGCAAGAAATGCTGCTTTCCATTCTGGTGATGCGCTACAGTATAGCGAGGCAAGAGCTAAATTGAAAAGGGGCATCAAGGACACTAAGGCTACATACAGATGAAGGATTGAACATCTTTTTGAGAACTCAGACTCTGGTCGTGTATGGCAAGGTCTGCGACAAATCACAGGACAAAGCAATAAAAATAGTCTGCCTGGGACTAGTGACTCTTTAGCTGAGCAGTTAAATCAATTCTTCAGCCGTTTTGAGGTGGACACAAGAACGACCATCATTCAGCATTTACCACTGATGGTGCATCATTAACATCTACCATCGATAGACAACCACTTCTACTGCAGATCTCTGATGTGAGATGCACTTTCCAGAATGTTAATATCTGGAAGGCAGCTGGGCCAGATGGAATTCTGGAACGAGTTGTCAGGGACTGCACTGCAGAGCTAGCTGAAGTGTTCACGGATATTTTCAATCTATCTCTGTCGCAGTGCTGTATCCTTACCTGCCTGAAGACATCTATTATAGTGCCAGTTCCTAAGCAGACAGTAGTGGTATCTCTTAATGATTATAGACCAGTAACTTTAACATCTGTTGTCATGAAATGTTTTGAGAGGCTGGTATTAAGGCTAGTCTTCCATCTACTTTGGACCCATACCAATTTGCATATAGGGGTAATAGATCAACTGATGATGCTATTCTCTTGTTGTCCATACTATATTGAATCATTTGGAACAACAGGGGCATATGCAAGGCTGTTATTTGTGGATTATAGCTCTGCCTTTAACACCATTTTACCCAACAGGTTGTTTTTTAAAATGTCCAATTTGGGTATAAATCAGAGGATTTGCTTGTGGATAAGGGACTTTCTGACAGGTAGGCCACAGTCAGTAAGGATGGGATCTCACCATTCCTCTACTCTGATATTAAGCACAGGAGCCCCCCAGGGTTGTGTGCTAAGCCCTTTCCTTTATTCCTTGTATACGCATGACTGCACCCTACTATATAACACCAACGCAATTATTAAATTTGCGGATGACACAACAGTGGTTGGGCTCATTAATAAGAACAATGAGTCTGCTTACAGGAAGGAGGTACAAGGGCTGACATTGTGGTGTAATGAAAATAATCTCACACTTAACACCACAAAAACTAAAGAACTTATAATTGACTTCAGGAGGAAGAGAGATAAACATCTACCATTGTACTTAAATGGTGAGGAGGTGGAGAGGGTGGGTAGTTTTAAGTTTCTGGGCACTTATATCTCGGAGGACCTCTCATGGACTATGAATGTTAACATGCTTGTGAAAAAGGCACAGAAGAGGCTGTACTTCCTGAGAATGCTCAGGAAGATCAATCTATCTCAGCATCTACTTCTGTCCTACTATCACAGCACTATTGAGAGTGTCCTGACATACGGCATTCTTTTTTTTTGTAAAAATTTTTATTTTCAATTTTACAATACATAACAATCTTACAAATACTTCAGATAAAAAATAAAACAAATTGATACACACCACATTCGGTCTTGCCCGCCCATTTCCCCCCAAACCGCATCCCACCTCAAACCAACTTACTTCTTTCCCTCTTTTTCTTCACTCACCCTCTCTCCTCCTTCACCTCCACCTTCCTACTTACTTCTCCCCTTCTTCTTCTCCCTCTTGATGCGGTCCAGGGGAAATGCCCGAGCAGTTTCTCTCTCAAAATTAAAACATTAATATTATATACAATAAGACTATTTCTACTTTATCTGAACTACTTAAACTTCAACCCATCCACCCCCACCCCCCAACTTCCCAGCGCAAAATACAGGATTCTGCAAACATATTAAACATAATCTATTTAAATTTACTAATTATACAATGAACAAAATCATAAAAACCCTTAACTCTCTTCAAACTTTAACATCATAAGCTTATAAACAAAATCATTACTCATAGAATAAGTAAAACTTTGTAGTTCCATATTTCTTTTGAACATATTCTATCCATCTTCTCCATACGTTAAAATATCTCTCTTGTGAATGGTCCTTTAAATAAGCAGAAATTTTAGCCATTTCTGCTAAATTAGAAACCTTAAATACCCATTCTTCTAAAGAAGGCAGAGTATCCTTCTTCCAATATTGACCCACCAATAATCTTGCTGCTGTTATTAAATTCAACATTAAAATAGTTTCTTTAATATTAAAATCCACAAAAATTCCCAAAAGAAACAATTGGGGAGTAAACTTAATCTTCCTTTTAAAAACCTTTTGAATGTTCCACCAAATCATAATCCAGAAGGCTTTAATAACTTTACAAGTCCACCAAACATGAAAATAGGTTGCATCTAAGCAACCACATCTCCAACATTTAGGTTGCAGGTTCGGGTACATACAGGACAGCTTTTTAGGATCCAGATGCCATCTATAAAACATTTTATAAAAATTTTTCCTCGAATTCTGGGCCTGCGTAAATTTAACATTTCTAGTCCAAATTACCTCCCATAGGTCCAACGAGATCGGTTCTTGAATATTCTGGGCCCATTTAATCGTACAATCTTTAACTAACTCTGTTTCTGAATCCAATTTTATTAACTCATTATAAATTCTTTTAATATGGGCACATTTCTGATCCTTGATCTGAGTTACCAAATTTTCATCTACTAAAGTAATTCCCATTTTCTTATCCAAAGTCCATCTCTGCACGATTTGCAAATATTGAAACCACGATTGTAAAATGTTTTCTTGCCTTAACACATCAGAAGACTTTAATTGCCAATCAGTGCCCGACCAAATAAGTAACTCTTTATACGAAATGTTGTCAAAATTCACCCCCTTGGAAACCCCCTGGATTGCTTGTCCAGGGATCCCCCAAATAGGTTTTTTTATAATTTAACTTATAAAAATATTTTTTTCAAACTCAAAGTAAAGCATATCTTAAAATATGTGACTTAAAGACCGAATCTACTTTCTTATCAAAAATTAAATATGCATGCCAAACATATAATAAATCCCACCCTTCAAGAATATCTCTATTTGTTAAATTAAGCCAGTCACTTACTAAAGTTAAAGTGGCTGCATCATAATATAATTTCAAATTTGGTGCTTTAAGTCCACCTCTTTCTCGAGCATCTTGTAAAATCTTAAACTTTACCCTTGATTTCTTCCGCCCCAAATAAATTTATTAATACCCTTCTGCCACACATCCAAATTAGCATCCTTCTTTAAAATGGGTATCATCTGAAACAAAAAAAGAAACTTTGGTAGAACATTCATCTTCACTACTGAAATTCTCCCCAATAACGATAGTTGTAGCTTTTGCCAATCATTTAAATCTTTTTGAACGTTCATAATTATTCTTATACAATTTTCCATTAGATGTTCTAATATAAACTCCTAAATACTTAACCTTATTAACTATTTCATAACCGGTTGTTTCAGCTATAAAATCTTTTCCCTTCCTAGACATATTTTTCAATAATATTTTAGTTTTATTCTTATTTACCTTAAAACCAGAGACCTGTCCATACTGTGCTAAAATTTCAACCAGATCTTTGACCGAATCTGTTGGATGGGATAATGTCACAACCAAATCATCAGCAAAAGCTCTCAGCCTATAATCAATCTTACTTATTTTTATTCCTTTTAATCTAGATGAGTCTCGAATTTTAATAAGTAAAATCTCCATTGTTAATACAAATAGCAAGGGGGATAAAGGACAACCCTGTCTTGTACCTTTTCCTATTTTAAATACGTCTGTTAATCCCCCATTAACTATAATTTGTGCCGATTGTTGTTGATAAATGGCCTTGAGAGCAGACAAGAATTTATCTCCAAAATTCATTTCCTCTACAACTTTCAATAAAAAATTCCAATCTAATTGATCAAAAGCTTTCTCAGCGTCTATAAATATTAAAGCAGCAGGGATTTGGTTGTTCTTATCCAAATACTCTATTAAATTAACAATTTGTCTTACAGTGTTTTTCATATATCTCCCCATTATAAATCCAGATTGGTCAGTATGAATCAATTGTTTCAAAACCTGCATTAATCTATTTGCCAGTATCTTTGCAAAAATCTTATAATCTGTATTTAAAAGAGATATAGGCCTATAATTTCTAGGTTGGGACAGATCCTAGTCATCCTTTGGAATTAATGATATGAAGGCCGTTCTCCAAGATGGAGGTAATTCTGCTCCAGATAAAATATCATTAAAAAGTACCTTTAATGGTTCTATCATTTCTTCAGATAATATCTTGTAATAAATCGCTGTTAACCCATCAGTACCTGGAGTCTTACCAACCTTCAATTGTTTAATTGCAAAAATAATCTCTTCAGAAGTAATTAAACCATTAATCCCATCACATTGATCACTCGTAAATCTAGGAAAATGTGCTCCCTGTAAATATTTTTCTATATCTGAAATTTGTATACTTTCACTAGCATATAATTTAGAATAAAAATCTAAAAAAGACTTTTTAATCAAATTTTGTTGGTAGACTTCTTTACCTTTATAAATTATTTTATCTATAATCCTCGATTTCTGTTTCTTACGTAATTGATAAGCCAACCATCTACCAGGTTTATTTGCATTACAAAATGTATTATGTCTCACATACCTCAAATTAGTTGCCATTTGATCTGCTAATAACATATTAAATTGCTCCTTCAGCAAAGTAATAGAAAGTTTTAACTTATTGTCCATTGGATTTGATATTAAAATCTTTTCCTTACATTTAATCTCACCTTCAAGATCTTTATGTTTCTGGGTCTGTTTACATCTGTGAGCATTGTTCATAGAAATCAAAACCCCTCTCATATATGCTTTACAAGAATCCCATACCATTGGCATCGAAGTACCCTTATTCATATTCCAAGCAAAAAATTCCTTTAAATAACCTTTACATCGCTGTATATTCTCTTCATATCTAAATAAATTCTCATTCAACCTCCAAGACCTTCTAGTTCTTTCTTCTGATGAAATTTCCAACCATACCAGACTGTGGTCTGAAATTATTCTAGGAAATATCTTGATATTCTTCACCCTAGAAAGGAAATCACTAGTAACCAAGAAAAAATCAATTCTAGAATAAGATTGGTGTCTATCCGAAAAAAAAGTAAAGTCTTTTTCCTCAGTATTCCATTCTCTCCAAATATCTCTAAGTTCCAAATCATCCTTTAAGTCAAAAAAAAACTTTAGGAAGTCTTGCATGGTTAGAAAATTTAAAGGGACCCTTCTTACCTGTACTTGAGTCTAAAACATCATTCCAATCTCCCATCATAATAACTGACTTATAATCCAAAGAAGTTAATTTCTGATGAATCAACTTATAAAAATGTTTTTGTTGTTGATTGGGAGATGTGGAAGAATTTGCATGTGCAGCAAATTTTACGGATGGGGACGCCGCCGCACATGCGCGCTGCGCATGGGGATGCTGCCGTGCATGCACGCCACGCATGGGGACGGCGTCACACATGTGCGTCATGCATGGGGACGCCGCCGTGCATGCGCGTCTCACCGCGCATGCGCGGCACGTCCTTATGACCGGGGTCGACGGTATAAAAAGGTTGAGAACCACTGCACTAGTCCATGGAACACTCCAGTTTTTGTTATCACAAAGAAGTAGTGAGAAGTTTGTAACAAAAATTTTTCCTGTCTCTTTTGTTTTTCAACTGGCTGTGTTGCTTTAAGAGCAAGAGAGACCAAAAGAAAGAAGGAACGGGGGGGACTGTTCGTTTTAAACTTTTTTTTCCCTCTCTGCTTAGAATTCCATTTTGCGAATGGAGATGAAATTAATCCCTGCTCTTGCAGTTTCAGCTAGCAAAACTTAAGTTTTGTAAATATTTAACCTACTTAATAGAAATTTGTTTCCATCTTTGATTAACTTGGAATTTAACTTATTGACCAAAGGAAAACAACATAGGAATTGTCACTTAACACTTTTGATATTTCTTACTAGTAAAATACTTACAGGAGTATTTACTGTGTCAGAAGCGCAAAAAAGTATATTGTATTGAATGGCTTTACTTATCCCATCCCAAAATGTTTTATCTTTTATCCAGACTGTGGCTGAAATAACCTCAGGACACAATCAAGCTTGTCCTTGAAATGGGACTGATTTAATTAATATTGTTCTTCTTATCCCAAAATTTGATTTTCAATTTTATTTTCAGAATAACTTATCTCTTCAATGCTGAATATATAGGCTGTATTTCATATCATCTGTCTACACTGCAGTGCAATCCCCATCACAACGCTCAGAATTATCTGCTGCTATTTTAGCTTTCCACACCTTTTCTCAACAGACTTTTAACTTAATCTCTGATTCTCATTATGTGTGCCAACTTATTTTTAATCTTACAGATGCTTACATCATGCCCAGGATCAACTCCAATCTTATGGCTTTGTTTTTAACTTTACAGCAGCTATCCTTTGTTTCTCACATATGTATCGGTCCTTTAAGGAC